CTTCAATAAGTAGTACTAGCAACACTGGAAATCCATTTTCAGAGGAATGAAACAAGATTCATATCTGACATCATATAAAAAACTAACTCAACTTTGATAAAAGACCTAAATGTAAAACAGAATTATAAAGATCATCAAAGAATAGGGACAAACTTAAGAGCTTTAATAAATGGCATAAATATACTATCAAACATTACAAAAGACGTACAAACAGCAGAAGACAATGCAGATGACTGGGGCTTCCTAAAAATTAGAAACACTTGCTCATGGAAATATTTTGCCAAAAGACTAAAGAAGGGATCCCATAGACTGGGAAAAGGTTATAAGCAACAGTGTATCAGACAAGGGACTAATCAGTTAAATTTTTAGAAAACTAAAACACCTCTACAGGGAAAGGACAAAGAACCCAATTAACAATTGGGCATAGTACATGAGCAGACACTTCACCAAAGAGGACATTCAGGCAGCCAACAAACATATGAAGAAATGTTCACAGTCATTAGCCAATATGTTGTTGTTGTTAAGTGACATGGAGTGAATTCTGACTCACAGCAGCCCTGTAAATGGTTTCTAAGCAGTGAGTTTGAACCACTGACTTTGTGGTTCAAACTGACATTGTGGTCCAGTTCTTTATCCCAGAGATATGGAAATCAAACCAACAAAGAGATAGCATTTTAGAGCAGCATTAATAGAAAAGTTAAAAACAACAGCAACAGAAAACAACACATACCATGAGTTTGTGGAGACTAACTCTCATATACTGCTGGTGGGAATGTAAATGGATTCAACCGCTGTGGATAAAGGAGTGGCGCTTCCTCAGAAAGACTTTGATAGAAATACAGTATGACCCAGCATTCGGTCTACTTGGTATGTATTCACAAGAAATAAGAGCCAGGACAGCAGTAGATACATGCACACTGATTTTCATCTCAGCACTAGTCACAATAGCAAGAAGATGGAGACAGCTTAAATGTCCATCAATGGAAGAGTAGATAAGCTTTTATAGATATATAAAATTGAATACTATGCAACACTGAAGAATAACGATGTATTTGCAGAACACCTTGTAATATGGATTAACCTAGAAGGCAGTACGCAGAGTGAAAAAATTCAATTACAAAAAGACAAATATTGTAGTGGTTACGAATCGGGCTGTTAACCTCAGGGTCAGCAGTTCAAAATTACCAGCTGTTCCACAGGAGAAAGATGAGTGTTTCTGCTCCTGTAAAGATTTGCAGCCTTGGAAACCGTGTACAGGATTGCCAGGATTTGGAACCGACTCCACGGCATATAACAACAACAACTACTGTAAAAACTCAAGAAAAGATTTACATACTAAAAGAAACATATTTGATGGCTACCACAAGTTAGTGGGAAGACACATGTTAACTCTGATGACAGGAAAGGCAATAAATATAGAGAAAGATGAAAGTTGTGTAAAGAATGATGAAGGCAGATGAAGATACAGGGGGTTATGCAAGGCTAAACAGGATAAAGGTAAATAGCCTTGGAACAACACGGTTCTGTGTGTAAATACATGGACAGAAACACAGGCTGAATAGGTATTGGAGGAAGAGTGGCACATATATTCTTTCATATACCCCAGAAATATATTAGATTTTGAAAGAGGATGTTTGTACTTGGATAACCATAAGGAGGAAGCAGGACAGGTGTAGTTCCATGAGGAGATTGGAATTGTTGAGATGGAACAAAGTATATGATTCATTGAATATAAAGATAATGGTCTTGTCTGTGACGCTTCATTCCATTCACAATAAAACATTTATTAATAAATTAGGAGTCAAGATAAATAATTTGTTCAGATGTCCCTCTCACAGTTTACTTGACAGACTGTGTTTTGGGCATGCAAGTCTCTAACCTCTAGTATTCCTGTTTTAAAAATTTAGACCAGCAGATAATTAACAACGTTTTTACTGATCAAACTCTTACAGAATGTCTGCTTCCAGAACTCTCACTCACACTTAGAGCAT